ACGAGTATCGAACAATATTTTTCATCACAATGTGTGGAAAAGGGACGTTTTAGGCACGCGAAGCGTGCCTAAAAAGTTACTTTTTCGCACAGCGTGATGAAAAAAAAAATTCTGGGCAAAATGTAATTTGAATGACCCTGAATATTCCTGATTTTTTATTTATTTTTCTCACGCGTTTTAATTGACAAATTTGATGATTGAAAATGGTTGAATCTATAGTGTGATCTGTACCAAACTGTAAAAGACAAAAGTTGTTGACATAATCGAGACAAATTGTTGTGAAGAAGTTTGTTGATAGTAATCGTTTTTTGAAGTCGAAATTGTTTGAAAAAATTGAAATGTTTAAAATATTTTTAGAGAAAAGTCCGGTGATTGTCACTTGTTCATAAAAAAATTCCATGATTTTATAAATAAACTACATAAATATTTTATACGATTTACCCGGATGCTTTTTTTTAAAACAATTAGGTGAAAATTTGACTGGACAAAAAAATGGACGAAAGAACTTTGGATCCCAATAAATATGCGTAGGTAACATATGTTTATTATTCAAATGCAGAAAATGCTAATGGGAGACAAACTTCGGCAGTCATTGATTCAAATCAAATAGTATTGAATACTAAAAACGTAAAACTAATGACTACACTACCAATTACATCGAATGAGCTTGTGTAATGTACGTGCGATGCCGCGATGACAGATAATGATTAAAACACAGAGCGCAATTATGAGCAGAAAAATACTTCGCTCATCTTCCGGCGCTGGTTTTCCGCTCCAGTAACAATTTTCAGCGCAGTTGGAGGCTGTTTCTTCCAGTTTTTCCTTTATATAGTTCCAATCACAAATGCCTTGTTCACAGCCTTCGTACATTATCAGCTTTTCATTCAAGTGGAAAGTGACTTTGTGGGGGGAGCCAGGGTCACTGCATCTGAAAGTTTCAAATTGATTGTAATTTTTTTTTCCGACCGGAAGCATTGTAATCGAAAATTTGACTGTCAAATTCACAGGGTTTTTTTTTTGAATTGACTGAATTTGATCGATTTGAAATCGTTCAAATTTAAGTTTTGCATTTTTGGCGTTATATCGACCCATTATGATCCAAAAAGTCCGAAAATTGCTATTTTTAGACCGCTTTAGTAAATATGTGTGCACGGAAAAACTACAAAATTATTTTGTACGCTACACTCAAAATTTACTGTCGAAAGTAGTAAAAATTGCGAGTCGGTATAGTGAAAAGTGGTAAAATAAATATGTAAAGAAATTTTTCTTCGATTGTTCGCTAATGAATCGATGGATTCGGATGTTTTGTCCCTCAAATATGGCTATTGTTGAGCCCTATCAATCGCCATTAATTACAATTTCATTCATTTATTAATTTTGAAAATTTTTAAAAATTTTCAAACATTATTTTTTTACGATAACTATTTAATATTGTCTCCGTGTGTACATACGTGCGTATGTAAATAAATTTTTCTTCGATTGTTCACTAATGAATCGATGGAATTGAATCTTTTTTTCTCAAAAGTCGGTATTGTTGAGCCCCATCTATCGCTATTAATTAAAATTAAATCCATTTATCATTTTTTTTTCAATTTTTGTATTTTTTCAAAAATTGTTTTTTTACTGGTTTTTCACTAACTAAAAAAATTCTGAAATCAGTTGGAAGACGAAGGCGATAGCAATAATCGTTATTTAGATTTATTTGAAAATTTCAAATTTTTCATGAATTTCTTTGAAAGGGAGTTTTCTGATGGTTTTTTCAAATGCGATGCATCACTATTTACCAGCAAAATAGCCATGCTATATGAAGACAGAAGCAATTTCCCACTTGGTCAATTCGTCCTTAAAATAAAAATGTCAAAAAATCGTCCATACCTGTAGAAACTAGCAATGAAGTTAGCGAAGAAAGGTGCAATTGAGGATGTCCTCCACTTTCTATTTGCCATGCGTCCATAATTATTTGATAATAAATGCTCCGAGTCTTTCGCGATTCCCATTGCGTGGAAGAAATCCATCAAAACCCTTGAGGTGCTCATGTAAAAGAAGCCCTTCGGGCCCTTCTGCGTTCCAGACTTTTCAGACTCTCTACCACAAAAGACAAATTGCAATTATTGACATGTTCAAGATTCAAATCTGTGGTGAATTGGTAAACTAGGATAAGTGAATTTTTTCGAAAATGCGTTTTTTTTGTTCAATCGCTTTCCGTCAATTTGTGGAAGCGATTTAGCAAAACAATTTTTTTTGGAAAAACATGCATTTATCCTAGTAATTAGGGTTTTTTGCCTGCTTTTCTCTATACCATACATGGAGAAAAATTTTCTAGAAAAATTCCAGTACGAGTACTGGAAAAAATCACAATCCANCTATATATTATATATATATATATATACATATATGACGTGAAAAAAAAATTTACCACTGAAGAATTTGGAATTATGTCACTGAAGAATTTGAAAATGCCGCGTGTTTTTTTTTGTGACTAACTTCTTTTGTCACATATTGACTAACCAGAGTTAAGGATTAGCGGTCAGGCAGTTTCGAGATATTTCGATATAAAACAACTTCACGTTTTTTTCATCTTTAGTAAATAGGACGAGNTTCTTTACCCGTGCTAGCACTAGAATTTTTCCAAACAATTTCTCTCGGTGTAGCCATTCCCACCTCAAACCTTGTTTTCACCCAACCCATACCCTAAAGTGTGCCAAGTGAATTTGGCGATGACCTTGAAAATTGACATTCACCAACAAAGTTATAATTTTTTTTATTAAAATAGTATTAGACAGATGGTGAACATCGGTGACAATTTAAAAATTTTAGANCGAGATCTATGCGCGCGCGAAAGCGCGCGCTGATCTATTCATTTGTTGAAATGAAGAATTGGAATTCATTAAATTTCATTTTCTCATGAATACCTTATAAATATTGATAATGAATCAAAGAGAATTCGACTAATGATTGAAGTGAATAGCGAAGTAGAGTAAAAGAATCTATAAAGAATTTTTCATTTTCAATTAATTATCTTCAATTTTTTAAAATAATCGGTCTCCATAAAAGGACAGAATTTATTAATTTCACCGATGATATATATACATGTGAAATATATATATNATGATGGAGGGAAAGAAAACATTTTTTTTGAATCTTTTTTCAAATTCACTTGGCATCCTTAAAGGTTCATATGAGTAGAAGCCCGAGGGCTGAAACCATGTAAAATAGCCATAAATTAACACTGTACACTCTGCTGCCTTCACGGAGAGAAATGTTCAGTAAAAATTACAGAACTCACAATTCACTCACCGATTACGGAATCGACTTAGAAAATCTAAGTGACGGTATCGTGATTTTTCACAGGAGATTCAGATAAAAATTACGGAACGCTCCGAAAAAATTCCGAGACAGTTCCGTAAAATTTCCTACAACCACATTTCGCTCCGGAATTACGGAAAAGATACGTAATTTTTATTGAATATTTCTCTCCGTGTTGTTGTATCATTGACGTTAATAAAAATCTTTAAAAGTTAAAGTTGAATTTATCCTAGTTCACCAATTCCCAACAGAAATATTTACAGTTCAACAAATTCCACCGGAAATGATTGATGAGATCCTCCGCTGGGAAACAACCGATCAGACTATTCAAGGCAACTCCATATCCTGAGTAGTAATAGTACTGGATGTCATCGATGTACTCAATTATTTTCCATTCTTCTTTACTGAATATTGCACACCACGGTGATACTTTGTCGCGGGTCCATGCTGTCTCGAAACGGCACATGTCTTGAATGTTGTGAATGGTTGCTGCATTGGAAATTCGTACATTCATGACCGAAATGAAGAAATTTTTTTTTTCAACTACACTGAGAGAAAAAACAGCAGAGTTCTCAAACAAGTCTTAATTGCTAAAAAAAGTGTTTGATAAAAATGATCAAAATACGATTTTTTTTTCTGCCAAAAATGCGAAGCGTGCGCCGAGATTGGAAATTTTTATTGCAAAAATAGATTTAGTCTCTTCAAAAAAATTTCATTCTCTGTGCAAGCAAAAATGAACCCCCCCCCCCCCCCCCCCCCCCCCCCCNCGAACCCGAGTCGTCCGCGTGCCAATCCCGCGGGGCTGTTTGAAGATTTGTTCCTTTTTCGCTCAGTGTATGAGAAATCTCTCATTCTTAAATATTTAGATTGAGAAAACACTAATTTTTTCTACGAAATTTTTTCATACGTCATCTGGTTTTACCATGTCACTAATGAATTGTTCACATTGAGACAGCGAGTTTATTTATTCATCACTCAATTCTCACCTGGGGACACGTCGAATCCAACTCGACGACTCACATTCCGCTGCAGTTCCGCATATTCAGGGCCACGAATGAATTCATCACGTTGCACCTCAGTTTTTCTATCCGCGTGGGACCATCGATAGCAATTCCTATCAGGCTGTAAAATTGGAAAGTCCTAGGATCTATTTTAACCCTAAATTGGTCATCTCATCAGGGAAACGCCGCATCACGTCGTTTTTCTTCAATTAAATTTTCAATTTATTTTGATATTCAAATGCAAATGCAGAATAATGATTTTTACACGGTATGAAAAAAGGAAAAAAACGAGTAAGTCGAAAAAATTACCTTTTCCATGATCTAACTGAGATAATCGAAAAAATATCTAGTTTGATTTCAAAGCCAAAAACACAAAAAACTACGTTTAAAATGGATTCACGGAGAGAAATATTCAATAAAAATTACCAGAAAAAAGACGTAAAAATTACGTTTCGAGACGTAATCTGGGAGCAAAGTAAAATTCAATAAAAAGTGTCAATCGTCACGTAAATTCTACGATCTGTTTCGTAAAAATTACTCATCCGTCCGACACCTCACGGCTAGCCATAAGTCACCGTGCGGGAGAGATTTTAACACGTTCCGTAATTTTTCCGGAACTTTTCGTCAAAATTCTTAAACATCCAAGAATTTTGATGTTCTGAGGCATAATATGTCTTGAAGTTTCTGTTAGATTTTACAACTTCCAGAGAAATTACGTGACTTTTTCGTATTTTTTCGGTGACAGACCCGAAAATTTACTGAACGTTTCAGATTTATTCTCTTATATTCCTATAGAAATTCACTGAAAACGAATCTTGCTTGCGGATTACGTGAAATGTTCCGTAATTTTTCTTGAATATTTCTCTCCGTGTTGAGTGCATAATTTTTCTTAGTTTTTTAGGTACCCCATGATATATAAAAAATCGCTCGATAATTATTTTTATTAACTGAAGACCTTCAAATTTCATGTGGGTCCTCCCCTTTAAAAAATGACTTAGTCGATTAAAGTGCCCGGAAAAATTACGGTAGTTTCAGAACAACATAATTCCAGAAATTCCGAGAGAAAAAATATTATTTCCAACAGATGAATGATTTTTTTCCATGCTAAAGTAGTATAAACATAACTTTCATTTCGAAGATTAAAATCTGAAATAAATTCTCAACGAAAATGAATATGAGTAAAAACAACCTGGTTGGGCTTGTGCTCAATTGGTAGTTTAGTATTATTGATAATAATTAATCTGGAAGTCCAAAAATACCACAGAATCTTAAGAGAAAATTGAAGAGAGAAGATTGAAATCTGCAGAAAATCGCGAAAAGTCAGAAAAAAAAAATTCTATGTCCAATAAGAAAATCGTCGTCACTGTCAAACGTTTGTAGTAAATAATATATGTTTCTGCGTGCCCGAAACAGCGTGTTACGTCGAAAACGAGAAGCTATTGTTTCAAAAAATAATTGAAGAAAGAATTTGATGGATCAATTTTTCACATTCATCAAAGTTAGAATTCACGGGAAAAATAATCAATGATGAATAATTTTCATTGCCTTTTTGAATTAATTTTTCCTCGTTACACTCAACGCCTGAACTGGAGTTTTTTCATCCCAAATGAAATGAGAGAATTGTTCGGCCAATTCACGAACTAATGGCGCCAAGTGGCCGCCGACTTTTCAGTAAATCAGACAAGGATAGCATGCATCTAACCATCTCTGTTTAATGCCTTTGACAGATGGAGAGGGTAACGCCCTGTTGCCATCTATTTCAGTTTTGCAAAAACTCCCTAATTGCCCGTCACGCAACGTTGCCGGAAACTCGCTAAACGCGCTCGGGCAGTATAGAGTGGATTCGGCAACGCTGAAGCCTGAATAACACGGCGGGGAATCCCCGCGGAGGTAACCAAAGTCAGAGTTTCGCGTATGTTGACCAAACTAGGGTTAAATCTTACTCGCAATAGAGAATCCCTTTTTTCATTCGGCACGAGTTCAACAGCAGATTCATCACCAAAGAGACCTTTTATCATAGCTTGCAAACTCACGATACTTCGTGAAGCCTTTATAGATCTGAACTGAAGCATAAAAATATTCCAATTATAGCCCGAAGAATGGCGCATTATAATCGGATACAACTCTTTATTTAAAATTATCCTATTTATTTAGAGGATACTTTAATCGGAAATAAGTAAACTTATATTTGTCATAATTATTCTGTAATGTTGTGCTTCAACAGCAGATTGTTTTTATAATCACTCTATATTATGAAAATCCAAATTGACTTCTGGTGATAAAAATTTGGTACTTGAAATTAAGACTCCAAAATTAAGGGTCACGAAGGTTAAAGTAAGGGTCACAAGGGTGCGATTAAGGGTCGTGAGGGTCAAAATAAGATTCACGAGTGTCAGAATAAGAGTCACGAGATTCAGATTAAGAATCACGAGTCAGATTAAGGGTGACAAATGTCAGATTAAAGGTCACAAGGGTCAGAATAAGGGTCACAAGAGTCAGAATAACGGTCGCGAGGGTCAGATTAAGGGTTGTAAGTGACAGATCAAAGGTCACAAGGGTCAGAATAAAGGTCAAGAGGGTCACAAAAGGCAGTTTTAGGGTCATATGGGTCAGATTAAGGGTCACAAGGGTCAGAATAAGGATTATGGGGGCGTAGCCCCCTAGTATTTCCCAGCGTTTCTTCTCGTACGTTCAATGTTATGATAATTATCGAGGAAATGTACCCGATAATTATGAGAATTGATATCTTTAATTGACGACTGGAAAAGTTCCGGATATGCGTCCTTCAGCCTTTTTCCGAGTTCCTCGCCCTCTCTCCACCCTTCGTCGGTGATCTTGCTAGCGTCTTGTTCTGTCAAATGCGGATGGGGGTGCCATCTCCTGATGTTTTCCACGTCTTCATCACACAAACGACCCACTATCCACAAACAAATTGTTTTGTTATTGTTCTTAGAACGATTTCGAGTGCACTTACTCCCTTTCTCGTGATGGTACATGATTTTCCAACGTATGGTATGCAACTCTTGTAATCGATCGACCGCCTCTTCCTGCGGATAACGCGTTCCATGTCTTGCTAACATCCAGAGTCGAACGGCTTTACAATCTTATGCAGAAATAATAGTATATTTCGAACAATATTTTTCATCACAATGTGGCAGAAATTGGACTTTTAGGCACGCGGAGCGTGCCGAAAAGTTCACTTTTCGTCACAGCGTGATGAAAAATAATTTATGGACTTCTTCTGGCAATCGGAGCATTAAAATCAACTAGGTGGAATTCATGAGAGTAGTCACGTTAATAATTGAACAATACGAATAATTAGAGGGGTAATCAATCCATTATTCATTATAGATTTTAGTGAAATTATAGATTTTATTCAATAAAATTTTATTGAAAAACCTAGAAAATTCGCTTGAAATTTCTTCTAAAAATTCTATTATTGTGTACTAATATCTAACTCTATTATAATTCTATTCTATTATGATAGAAGTATTTTTAGCCGATTCTATTCAAGAATTCCGCAATTTTATCACGAGTTTTTTTTATAGAAAATGTCCGATTGAAACTATTTATATCAAAAAGCAGTTGCATTTCATCTTTCTATACTTTTTCCACTGAGATATTCTCAATGGGAATTCCTCGAAATAAATTGTCGAAATTCGTTTCACTCTATTTTCCCCCTCTCATTAAAGAAATCAAAACAGAAAAACTTGGAAAATTTAAGCCGGCAAATTTCCATTGAAAAAAAACGCAATGAAAAACAGCAATTCTTCAATAGAATCAAGAAAAAAATAATAGAATTTTAAATGAAAGTTCTGTAGAAATCCAATAGATTTTTTAGTGGTATCGATAAATTCTTCTATAAAATTGGTTTGCGCGTCTTTCATTGATTCGACGCCCAGAAACAACGGTTTATTTGAATTAAGTAAACTTCATTTGAATAAAATGAATCCTTTATTGGAATCAAATAGACAATTTATTTGATTCGAATAAAATTTATTCAATTTAAATAACCATTTCTCCTGGGTGAATTGCAATTATCAGATAATTGTTCATATCATATCTCAGTAATTATTTATGTTCTTCCAATAAAAATTAGCTTACTTGGTATTACCACCCGTTCAAATGTCCCAGTGCTTGCAAACCGATACGGCGTTTTAACTCCGAAATTCCGATAAGGGTCGGTTTCATTCACAAAACAGTAATCCATTTCTCGCGCTATCGTGCAGCTCATCCACAGTAGACCGTACGCTGCTGCACGAATTCTAATGAAATCCATGATTTGTCACACTAGAACGCCGCTGCATTAATATTGTGACCCGTGTGAGTATGACAACGTTTTCTACACAAAGCTGTCTACACAAGGTGAATATTCACACGACCATTCCTGTTCTTATCGGAGGTATAAAGTAATGACAGTATGTATAGATATCCCTCACGGCACGTCCGTTCGGACTATTTCCGTTGTGAAAAAAAAGAATATGGGGTATTCCATGTGAACTCACTCAGGTCAAAACCCTCACCATCGCCAATCATATTGCCGATTTTTCCTGTGGTTGTATATGGAAAAATATGACTGCTCAAATTTTTTCAGATTTTTTGAGGCATCCTGTGGGCACTTGTGCACTCGCAAGATAATACATAGGACCGAACCAGTTGGAGGTGCACGAGTTTGGGAAGCTTGAATTAATTTCTTTTGAGTTCGTATAACGGCGGAACATGAAAGTGTTCTACTACTTGAAATTGTTAAGCCTATTGCATTTTCTATTTGTAGGTGGAACTTGTGAATTTCCCCTACCATAGGGTGCTTTCTCTGTGGAACAGGTATCAGTAAAATAAATACAATGACAAAATAAAAAAAAATAAAAAATAAGAAATTGAATAAAAATAACTGGAAATAAAAAAAATTAGTTGGGAATAAAATTTTGCATCATCTCATGCGAACTCAGCCTCAAATCAATAACAAAATATCTGAATTCTTCACTTGGAAGATTTTATCATGTTACACATGGAGAAAACCGTTGGATTCCAGTGGTTTTTCACCTTAAATAGGAGAAAAAGTGCGAGATTAATAGTGAATTTTGCTCCGATGGCATAGAAAGATAAACTTCTACTGATTTTTTCTATAAAACTGTTTTTATCGGACATTCTCTCAAAAAAACGCGCAGTGAAACTGCAGAATTCTGCAATAAGTGGCACCCTAATTTTTGGTGGGACTCCGGCCACTTTTTCGGGGGATTCCCGTAAAAATTAGTGTGCCACATGCGAATTCTCCGATGACTCCCTGTTATGTCCCAGCGTTGGTGAACAGCACACTAATTTTTGAAAGGATTCTCACAAAATTACGATGTATTTTTTCTCCGTGTAAACCAAACGGAGTGAAAGTAAGTCCACACCGTTTTCCGATGTGAATGTACGCAGTAAAGTTGATTCATTCCGGAGTGGAATACAGCGAGTAGAGTGAAAATTAACACTGTCATGGTGTCAAAATGAACATATTAATTGATATTGTATTTATCCTATCCTATTCTTATCGTGAAAAGGAGAAAGGAAATTGATCTCGAAATATCTCAAAAATCTCGAATAAGCGTAAGCTTAAGGGTGCCAAGTGAATTTGAAAAAAGATTCAAAAAAAATTTTTCCGTCCCGGCGGGCGCAAAGTTACATTTCCCTCCCGCTTCGCGGGAGGGAACTCTGACTTTGCGCCTACGCCGAGACGGAAAATCGCGTTCTAACCACGGGAAGTAAAATAAAGGACCCTCAGCCGCGTGCTTACCAACCTCGCCTTTCGAGCCATTCGTCTACGCACTGGCGGCTGAGGCTCCTTTATTTTCCCTCCCTAGGTTAGAAATATACTATTTCTTTCCCTCCATCATTGGAGGAATATGTATTCATCCATCCGACGAAATTTCAAACCCGCAACCCGAACTAGACATCGAGAAAATAAATGCGGAAAATCCTCTATTTCGCGTGACGAACCTCGAGAAAACAGGGGATCAAATGGGTACGGCGGGTTGAAATATCTCTCTTATTCACCCCGGTACCCCATTGTTTTTTGTCGCCATCACATTGAACACATCATTCCCCATATCTTCAAATTTTTTCAAATTTTTCTTGAGTTCCTAGGGGGTTGAAACGTTCAATTTAATCAAAACTCCATAAGAGGCCGTGTATAAGACTGATTTTGTTCATTTAATTTCTCGATATCCATAAGTTCTAAAATTTTAAAATTTTCACCGATGTTCACCATCTGTCTAATACTTAAATTTAAAAAATTATAACTTTGTTGGTGAACGTCAATTTTCAAGGTCATCGGCAAATTCACTTGGCACCCTTAAGACTGAAACCGAAGCGCCACTACGTGAAGAGATGAGAAGGCGCGTGCACAGCTCTTGTAATTCAGAACTCCTACTCACTATCAGTGGATAACGGAGGGTTTTCGAAACTAATATCCCGGCTGTCGGTGGTGCGAGATAAATCGACTCCCATGATTCTTCAGTTCGTTCCTTCATGCTCCTGCTGCCTCATTCGTCCTTCCTCAATATCGTACCTTGTTTGAAGAAAACGCTCATCAAAACGTAATTCAACTTCACTTCTTTTACGACTAAGAAACCCCCAAACAATTCTCTTGAAAAATCCTCGGTGAATAATCATTCGTAAACAATTACTCCAGTTATCATGGCTATAACCTCAAAGTGACAAGATCCTTATGAAAGATTCCTTGAGAAAATGGAAAAGGAAAAAATCTGGAACCGGTAAAGGCCCCAGGGACTGAACCATCTCTTCAAAAATTAATTAAATTCCCCTGTTTCTGGAATTTTCAGCAGTAGAAACTAATGGGCCTGAACTCCATTGTACGTAACATTCTACTTGGAATACCGATCGGAGTGACATTCGTCAACACTGTGGGATATGTTGCAAGGGTGGAGGGCATATCAATGCAACCAGCACTGAATCCAAATGCCAAGGAATATGACTATGTTTTCTTGAATTGCTGGGCTGTGCACAATTACAACATAAATTACGGCGAAATTATTTCGTTCAAGTCACCGAAGCATCCGGATCAGAAGTTGATTAAGAGAGTTATTGGGCTCGAGGGGGACGAGGTGGGGACCATTGGATACAGAAGTTCGGTTCTCAGGGTGAGAGAATAATTCAAAATACAGTCAAAAATACGAATATTGAATTATTTCATTCTTTCATTCAGTATAAGCAAATAGAATGGATTTTTTGCGGGTAGTCCATTATCTTTACTCAATGCATGAAAGAATTGAATAGAAAACCTTAGCGAATTGGTTGGAAAATTTCTATTGAAATTCTCGAGAAATTCGATGGGGATTCCATAAAAATTCTACGGAATTCTGGTTAAAGTTCTATTTGTTTTTTGCGCAGATTCTATTAGATATTTGATAGGAAAAAATCAATAGAGTTCGATTTTTCCGTTTATATGATCTAGATTTCCGTTTTTTTTTGCTTGAATCATATAGAAAAACCTATATATTTTCTATATGATTTTTTTAAAATATGGATTTCCATATTTTTGTTTGAATTAGGGAAAGTTGTGGTAAAACGGACACTTTTGACTTTTTTAAAATGTTAATGAGGGGTTGAAATGTTGATAAAATTCAATAATTGTTTTTTCAATATGAAGAACAATTCTTTCCCTTTGTGACGAGCCTAAACTGAGCTCAATTGATCAATTTGTTTCTCAGTTATGAATAATTTTTAAAAAGTCTAAAGTGTCCGTTTGCCCCACACTCCCCTATATAGAAAAATATATCGATTTGTCTATATGATTCAAACAAAAAAATCTAAATCTGTTGACTCTTTCCTATTCGATATTTCTTTAACGAGAATTCCCTAGAATTGTTATAGAATCCCAATGGAATTTTGTAGCGAATTCGTTAAATTTTTCTATTGAATTTTTTCATACGTGTCCTTACTATAATGAAATTTGCGATAGAAAAACAGTAATGTTACATAAAGAATTGATTAAAACATTCGTCTATACGTTGAATTCCATTATAACGTTTTCTTATTTGTTTTTTTTAATTATTTGATTTTAATTCATTTTGTCTTATATTGTATTATGCTTCTATATTATGCAAATGATTGATTCAATTTACGGAGGTCCTGCATGCATGCATGCAAAATTCCATAGAAAAGCCTAGCGCATTCGATAGACAATTAGTTTCTCAAGAAAAATTCGATTCTATTGAAGAATTTCACAGGTTTACAGCGCTTTTTTTAGATAGAAAGTGTAAAAAAAAATGAAAAATGTTCCATAGAAACTATTTTATAGAAAAATCAAAATTTCATCTTTCTGTACAATTTTTTCTATTGAGATATTTTCTATAGGAATTCCACGACATGAATTTCCTGCGGTTTTTCACCCTTTTTTCTCCTCTCAGCAGAAAAATCCAACGAAAAAACTTCAAAAATTTGAGCCAAGCAATTTCTATAGAAACAATTTCCATAGAATAAATTGTATAGAAAAATCTAATTCTATTGACTTTTAATTCTCTATTTATCTTGAAAATGAGTCATTCTAGGCGGGAAAGTCAGGAGATGGTGTTTGTAACTTAAAATTTCGAAGATGTCAGAAATCGATTCGTTTCATTACATTTTTAAAACATGGAATTATTCTAATGTCAATGATTTCAGGTACCAGAGGGTCATTGTTGGGTAGAGGGTGATAATACAGGTCACTCAGTGGACTCCAACACATTCGGTCCACTGTCCCTCGGTCTTGTGATAGCCAAGGCCACCTACATTGTCTGGCCACCGAGTCGATGGCAGCAACTGAACCCTTTGGTCCCTCAACACAGAACCCCTCTGAGAGTGTCGAAACAGCCACAGCCAGCGTAATATCTGTATTCAATGAGATAGAAGTGTTGGACAGTCAGAAAGACAAGTGGTGAAATGAGAGCAGTAAATTTTGTGGACAGACTACAGTGGGATATTCCTGGGAATGTCTGCAGACATGGACTTGCCATTGGGGATGTTGATAATGATGGAGATAATGAGCTTGTTGTCGGCACTGCCAAAGGAGATTTATTCATATTCAAGGTGATTGAGTGAGGACAAAATCAAAGGCACAATAAGAAAAGAAATGTTCTTGAATCGAAAATGTGAAAAAGAAAATAATTTTTTCCATATAAATGATAAAATTACAGAATGTTTTCTTCAATTAAGGATGCGGGAATTAATAATTTTTTGAATGGAATGACAATTTTCTCATTTCAGCAGCAAAATAATTCTGAAATTAAGGTAAATGTTAAGAAAGAGGCCCCCACCACCGATCCGATGGTTAAGTTTTCAGAAAGATCGGTGGTGGGGCCCTCTTTCTTAATATTTACCGAAATTAATATTTTTGATTAAAGATTAATATTTTTTTCTGAAGTATAAGCTAGATTTTACTATAAAATCGATCCCTAAGGCCTTAGAATCCTCACTGAAGATAAAAATTATTCTTCAATCCGAATTTTTTTCAATCTCAAGTTTTAAATCACACATAATATTTTTTGGATTGAAGAATATTTTTTTTACCCCGAACATGCAGAATTCAATAGAATGAAATCAATATAAACCTCGATGATTATAAATTTCTAGGGCTCAGAAATTTGGCACAAAACTACAGGCCTCGGACTGATAACTTGTCTTGCCATTGGAGATATATTCAATTACGGAAGAAATGCTCTGGTCGTCATTTGTGGGGATGGATGGGTCCACATTTTTTACAGCCCACGACCTGTCAATCCAAGCAATGGAAGTTCTACGATTATTAATAAAGATTCTCTCGATAATACGAAACAAGGTAATTATGTTTGATCTTTGTGGAGATTTTCCTGCAACTCTTGTTTCTAAAGTCTAAATGAGAAGATGATATCTTGGAATTTATCATGAGAAACGAATAAAAATAGAGCTGAAAAAACTTGACAAATTTGTGCCCAATAAATTTTACAGAAAATTAAAAATCTATTCACTTTTTTCTATCGAACATTTCTCGATAAGATGACACGGTAAAGTTGCATAATATTATATAGAATTCCGTACAATTAGCGTAAAAAACAAATAGGATTTTCTAATAGAAATTCTAATGGAACTTCAAAAGATTTTACTGAATTTTTTGAACAAAACACTCGGTTTTTCTATTAATTTTCTTCATACGTGTCTGTATGACTCAATAAACCTCTTGAAACAGGTGGAACATTCGATCATAATCCCGGAGATGTCGACCAAATGTCTGGTAAAATGGAATGTGTCCACTCACAGCGAATTCCAACAAATACAAAAATCGTGTTGGTGGCTGATATTGATCGAGATGGAGCCAACGAGATGATTATCGGATTGACAGACCGCGTTGTCAGGTCATATAGGTGGTCCTCTAACGTTGATCTAGGGACTGGGAAACTTATTGGATTAAATAAGTGGGAATGCGCTAATCAAATTGGGACAGTGACACTACAGGTGAAAATTCAAGTTTTATCGATCTTTTTCCCAATCCAAAAATTCTTACATTCATCACTGCACTTGTTGGGCAAGGGTGAGACAAATAGTCTATATTTCAGTTCGAATTTCGTGCTGACAATATTCTTGATTTAGAAATATTTTACTGTCAAATTTGTCGACCAAACTACTTGAGAATAAATTGAATAAATCCATAAATTACATTATTACATTATTTAAATTATTAAAAATGAAAATACTTAAAAACCTCTTTTTTCATCAGGAAACTAATTTTGGAAAATTATTCTAAATACAAATCAATTCATCACGAATTTAAATATAAGATGTTTAGAAATTCAGTTTTCGAAATTTTTAAAATTCTAAAATGTCTTTTAATGTTTAAAGTGAAACAATCATGTTGAGGCTTCAAATTCTTTAAATTATACGCAATTATTGCAGAATATCTGAATGTAGAATGTACCTGTAACGTGTCATTACAAATATCCAGAAGCATTCTAATGTAAAAAATATAAAAGTGCTGGAAATAATACAACAATTATCAATTTGAAGTTAAGTACAAATACTGAATTTAACAACTGAAATTAGTAAAAATGAAATTTAAATGATACGTAATTTCACGATGATGCTGGACATTCTCCAGAAGTTTTTAATGAATATCATCGTTTTTCACAGACAAAACCCTCTAGAAATTCCCCTTTAAAACGTGCTCTAGATATTTCTCTATCCTACCTATTTATCTTATTTTATATTTTATATTCCAGATGTTTAATACACAAATTACATTTCAGCATACGAATGATGGAACTCCAACTCTCCTCGTTGCCCAGCCCGGTGGCACCTTCATGAGAATAAAATGCAGTTCAGGTGACTGTCGTTCAGAAGGAGACTCCATCCAAAGTGAAACAGCAGAGGGTTGCATTGACTATCAGACCCTAGGAATATCCCGGATGCGAAATCCAAACATCTCAACCGAGATAATCGGTGATCTTGAGCCTGGTAAAAATAGACAGTCAACCCCAGGTGAGTCCCCTAGCAAAATTATTCTCAAAGAAGTTTACGTGAAGAAATTCTCACGTGATGGCCCACTGGAGCCAGAGGATTTCGCATCATCGAAACGTGTGGAATCGCCAGGGATTGATCAAGTCGATGGGAATGTGATCGGTGGGAGTGTTGTCCTCGGGGAATACGACACAGTTCATAAGAAAACTATTCTACCGAGTTATGAAGATTTTACGAAGAGTAATTATGCAGAGAGGGAAGGGGTTCAGGATGTGGAGGACAATAATAGTGAGGAGGAAATTCTGGAGAGCAAGCCTTATGCCCTTGCCACTCTGGACGGGACGATAATGCTGGTCAAGGATGAGGTTATTTTATGGTAAGTGAATTATTGTACATAACATTTTTTTAATATTTTTTTTTCTATTCAAAAAATATTGAAAAACGTATTTTTTATTTTGAAAAAATCATGACGTTGTCAATTGGCTATAGCTTACACATTTTTTGTTATTCATTGGAATAAGAAAATTCTTTTATTTTTCATTTAATTTTCATATCCAGCAATAGAAAAATTTCATGCAAAACACCAATGCGAGGATTTTTTAAAATAATTCAATAATGAAGGGATCAAATGTAATATCAGAACTTGTGGATCTTTCTACAGATGGAAAATTATCTTGATACTCAGTAGTTTTAGAAGAAAATTTCAACCGATACTTTTGTTGAGAAATCTGAAATTCATTGGATCCAAAATCGTTGGAATCTTGATGAAATAATTTAAAAATTATAGGGTTGATTCTCTCGATTATGATTGCCTTCAGACGAAAATCTGTTTTTTTTTCAGAAATTTTCTTTTTTTTAGTATTTCAAGACCTACAACAAAGATTTTTGACATTTTCCCATAAAGTTATTAATTATTAAGATAATCATTAAAAGTGGAATTTTTAACAACATGAGAAAATTGTAGATTGAATAATCCACTAATTAAATAGTTGGTTACTAATTAAATCTTTTAACATTATCCCCTAAAATCAGTGATTTAAGATGAAAATGTCAGCCTACATTTTGGTTTAAGAGTTCATTAGTGACAAAATGGTCCATTGAAATTCTTTCCGAAAATTATTCATTATCGAATATTTTATTCAGTATCTTTTTCCACATAGCCGACGAATATTATTGAATATTGTTGAAACACATTCTTGAAATTCTTTCACAACATACATGAAAATGTGATTTTCTTAAAATAAGAAAACTATTTATTTAAAATAAATAAATTGTTTACTCAAATTTAATAAAAATTCCACTTGAAATAAATAAATTGTTTGTTTAATATAATTAAATCATTTTCTTGAAACAAGTAAACAAGTTTATTCGTTTGTAACAAAAATATTCTTGAAATAAGTAAAAAATTTCAAACAAAGATTTTTATTTGATTAAAAAAAAATGTTCCTCTGGCTGCATGTTGAATATTCAGTTCTTTCAGGGAAACATGTCAACATACCTTTTCATCTCTCAATATTCTCCTCTAAAATAACACATTTTACCATAATGAAAATTATAAAAAATTTCAAGACCTTTCGGAATGTTCCATCATCTCTCCAACAATTAATACTCAACTCTCAATCTAGGGCTATGCAAGTTGACCACCAGATATTCGCCCTCTGTCGTCTGGACGTGACTGCTGATGGAGCTGATGAAATAGTCGTCTGCACATGGGACGGACAGACTTACATTCTCGATCAAGACAGGAACAGCGTGAGGTTCCAGTTTGAGGAGCCAGTGAGGTCGTTCTGCACTGGGAACTATAGCTTGACTCCAGGTGGATCAAGTCCCAGCCTCGTTTACATTTCGTTCACGAATAAGGTGGGTGATATTGGGGGAGAGGACCCCTCGAGTTGAATCATATAAAATGATTGTCACACTTGCAGATTTCTTTGTATTATGACGTCCTCCTTCCGAGTGTTGTCGTCAAGAGCCTGCCACCTCTCGCCTTCTCTGCAGAGCAGAATGAGGAAGATGCGGAGAGGACACTTGGCAATGCAATAGATCAGGGAAAACTGAAGAACAATAAACAATTGCGGGAGTACCTGCTGTACGGGATTAATACCCTCGACATAAATACTAAAAATTTTTGGGATGTATCATAGGGACTGTACGTGGACTGTATGATGAAATGAATAGAATTATGAATTATTTTAGAAACAGAGAATTTATCATTTTATCCTGATGATTACTTTAAATTGGAATTTTATTCCAATAAACTATTCCAACATATTCCAACAGTTGAAAAAAAATAGTGAAATTGGAAACTTTACGGGAAATTCAATGGAATTGCAAATTTCTGAACAGTGGAAAGAGAATTCTCTGCTTTATTTTCATCTATATAAATGCAACTTCATTTTTCTCATCATTTTTTATTGAAAATTATTTCGTATCAGCCTAATGTACATTTTGAAATAAAAATTTCGGTCATTTTGCATTTCTACAGAAAGTATTTTTTAATTGATGAATAGCACAAATTAGAAATTAGTTATGACCGTCATTATGCATATATATGAGTGGTTCTACCAAATACCGACCTAAAATATTGCCTCAAAACTTTTGGTATTATTTTCATGTTCTCATCATAAAATCCAAGTGAAAAGAAGAAAAATGAGCGCGGCCGGTGCTCTATAATTCAATAATTGATAGAGATATCGCAGATTCAATTTTTCTTTCTCCTTCAAAACTAAATTTTCCAATTCGAATGATGCAGTATTATAACTGATGAAAAAAATATCTGGAAATAAAGATTTGATCGGAAATGTTCTCAATTGTTTAAAAAAACTATTCTAACTTTATTATTATTCCAACCGCTTGTATTCATATTGCAATTTTTCCTTCTACTCCAGGCTATTATTATGATTTCCGTAATAATGTAAAAACAATGTTGAAACTCAAACATGAAATTACTTTAATTACTTTAATTTATTCATATTTAGATGAAAAATATTGCAAAAAAAAATATTGGTAAAAAAATATTGTTTTTGATGCCATGATTCATTTTATTATGAAAATCACGAAAAGAAAGTTTAAAACGTCCACTTCATGGTGACCCCCACATTTCATTCAATTTTTCGTCTTCTCATCGTAGAAAGATTTTTTTTTTACAACAATCAGCTTAGAAATTATCTGCATCACCAACCGTCACTTTTTGGTCATATCAAGCCATCTAAAAATGATGGTCATTTTGCATCGCTAGTCTCAAAACACGAAACATGTTCAAAAATAGAAAACCAATCCATTCAAGGTAGATGACCGCATTCCAGTTTCACTTCTGTCTTTTGAGAGCCCCCAGGGGTGTCAAATGTACAACCCTGCACTGGCAAAAACACGATGGGTTCAGCCCCCACTCTGGGAGCCTCGCACAGTGGGAAGGACGGAAAAAAGATCCAAATAAAGGGGGCCAAGTGTATTGTTGTCAACTTGACATACTTCTGACAGATTCAGTATGATGTGGTGTTGAGTGACGAGGGCACGATCCTCGGCTGCTGCTTGTGGCTGACGTCACGTGATTTCCATTACTGATTGTCAAGAGGAGGAATTCTCTATTTTCGAAACATTAGTTTTTTCATGGTTCGAAAAACTCGTTATGATTTTCCGGAAAAATGATTGTTGGAGAATAGATTTTTAAATTAGTTATTATTGTTTTCTTGAAAGGAACATTATTTTTTTTCAAATAATTCATTCCTCAGTTCTTCACGTTTTTTCCGAATGGAAATTTTGTAATCGCTCAAATTTAAGTTTAGACTTTTTTGTGTTAGGGTTACTAAATATGGTCTAAAAATTGCGAATCTGCGATTTGTACTCTTTTTTCTTCATTTTTTTTTCAAATAGGGAACTTCCATGAAGGTCAATTCTTTTTAATTCCTCTATTCACACATTCCTCGTAACATATGGATAGTTAAACGGCGACAATTATGGAGAAATATTGCTTAGATGTCTTATGATAATTAATTAAAAATCAGCAGTTGTCGAGGCCAATTCAGTAGCGAAGCGGTAAACCGGGTCAAGTCGATTTGGACTATTGGCCATTTTTTGACAAATATCTTGGAATCTAAAAGAGATAGAAAATTTTTTTTCATAACCTTTTTTGTAGATCCCATTGAGGGCTATACAAAAGGTCATGAGAACAATTTTGCTATCTCTCTTAGATTCCGAGATATTAATCAAAAACTGACCAAACGTCAAAATCGACTTAACCCGATTTACCGTATCACTACTGAATTTTTAGACTATGACGTCGCGGAGACGGTCAGGTAGCGCTTCATTGGGCGAAAAAGAAGAGAGTGGGGAGCTGTCGTCCTCCATTGGCCGAGGCGCACCTCAAGATTGGGTTAGGTCGGCTCGAGCCATTCTGTGATTGGTCCAGCGTCATTAGCGATTTCGAAGCGTTTGAAATCTTCAACTTTTAACAATTACTTATTAATTAATCTGCAATATTTCAAACTTTTGTGAATGAAAAATATATTATTCAGGTCCCAAACTTGAGATTAGAAAATTGAAAAAAGTTTCCTCTTGTCTCGGAATCGAATTTCATGAATTTTTCATGAATATAGACTTTAATAAGCTCTGTTGGGAATAGATGAATGGGTTCCATTTGTTTGCGTCAATTCTGTTGAAAATGATGCTACTTTGCTGTACGTTATTAAAAAAAAACTCTACAGAATCAGAAAAAAAATATTTACTAGGATCTTCACCGAATTCCAATAGAATTCTCACAAAATTCCGACAGAAATTCAGTAGAATTCCTGCAAGGAAACTTCCTATAAAATTTTTTCATACGTGAATTATTGCAATTGAATTGAAACAAATATATGAGGTATTCCATGCCAAATTAGTCAACGGCTAAACCTGACCCTCTTGAAAATTGATGCCGATTTTTTCTACGATTAGCGGGCTTGAAAAACTATCAAATTTTTTCAGATTTTTTTGACAGCCCAGTTCCAAAATATGATTTTTTTCAAATTGTTCCGTTTTTTTACAATAACTCGAGTTCTACTCATCCGATTTCGATTTATTAGGGGGCAAAATTTTCCATTTTTCACCACCTATAAGGAAGTTTTTTTTCAATTTTTTCCAATCTTCAGATGCTTGAAATAACGAATTTTCGAAAAAAAAGTTCAAAAACTTGAATTTTGCCAATTACGTCACGGTCGATTTTTTTTTCAGTAATTCTTATAATGAAAACGAAAATTTTGAGCCGTCATACATATTGGGTTCCATCCAGGATCTATTTTTTTTTTCATTTTTTCGTTTTAAAATTGCGAAAAATTGGTGAAAACACTTTAAGACGACTTTAATTATGTATCAAAAAAATATGTAATATATAGGTATATGTTTAAATTTACTTCATACTGTTTATAATCAAAGTCAACCAATGATATTTTGGGATATTTTGACAGAATTCGCGGAATTTTGAGAATAAAAAAATTAAAAATAAAATAGATCTAAGACAAAACCCAACATGTATGATGGCTCAAATTTTTTTTTTTGATTATAGGAATTACTGAAAAAAAATTAAAATAATCAACTGTGACATAATTAGCCAAATTCAAGTTTTTCGACTTTTTTTTTCGAAAATTCGTTATTTCGAGCATCTAGAGATTGGAAAAAATTTGGACAAAAAACATTCTTATAGGTGGTGAAAAATGTAAAATTTTGATCCCTAATAAATCGAAATCGGATGAGTAGAACTCGAGTTATTGTAAAAAAAACGATCAATTTGAAAAAAAAAAATCTCCGAACTGGGCTGTCAAAAAAATCTAAAAAAATTTGAGAGATAGTTTTTCAAGCCCTCCAATCGTAGAAAAAATCGCCATAAATTTTCAAGAGGGTGAGAGTCAGCCATTGACTCATTTGGCATGGAATACCTCATACATATTTTCCTTGCAAAAAAAACTCATCAACGCTATCAATTATAAGAGATGCGATCATGATGGTACTCATCATAATTAGCATTACAAAAATCTAAAGGACATTGTGCTGTTACTATACAGCAGACAGTGTCATTGTCCCCATCTCATCCGAGTTTGTAAACGTGTCTAGTGAAATACAATCCCACCTATTCACTATTTCATTGTTTGATTCATGTTTTCATACTCCAGAAGAATCTTGTGACATCTCTGAAATTTTCAATAGTACCTCGGATCAATGAATGGAGGTGTTCGTGTTGCATTGAGTGGGCTTCTCAACATTATAGGAAGGAAGAAGCAGTGTCGAATTGCTGATGCTTCAATACAAAAAAAATTAATGAAGAATAAATTGGCTGAGGGTTGCCAGGAGAAGGAAATCGTTGAAAATTAACTCTGAATTCTAGTAATCGTAAAGTGTATCGATTTTTTAGAAATTGTTGCGAAAATTGTGGAGTGACAATGACAATATTTTCAATGGAACTTCTACAGGAACGAATTAATTGATTTCGTCTCTATTTGTTTCGAAGTTAATTGAACTTTACATATTTAAAAAAAATGTATTATTGTTATTCTTGATTTATGTGAAAAAAATCTTACAAAAAATAGCTATAAATTGTCTCATCTATATAATGAATTCTTGAGTGAAACTTCCACAAAGAATTGAATGGACAGAATCTAATTAATTAAATTAGTTTCGATTTATTTCGAATTTTGTTATTGTTATTGACGATTTATATGAACAAATCCAATAAAAATTGGCTGTAAATATTCTCATCTACATAATTAATTCTTAAGTGAAAATGAAGAAAAATGAATGAAACTTCCCATTGCATTACAATATTTTGAGTGGAATTTCCACAAAAAATTGAAATATAAAAAATCCATTGAATTAAATTCAGTCAAGTAGTTTGTCCTTCCCACTTGAAATTTTTCATTCTATTCAATTTTTTCAACTTTTGCTTCCGAATGGAGGCATTGTAATCATGCTATTTTCACATTCTCTAATTTTGATTGAAAATTATGTAGAATGGTCTGAAACGTAAAAATACGAAGTTTGGCGACCATGTCTGTTGCCTAAAATTGATAGAAACTTGTTTACTTGACGTTTAGTGATAACATTTCATTGTTTAAAACACGAATTATAAATTAGAACGCGAGTGCAGTTCCATGTCAAAATATCCGCAACAATAAGATCCGCGTCAAAATATCCTGGAAAAAATATCCGCGGGCAAAATTATCCTGTGACATTTTTATCCGCTGAAAATATATCCGCATACAAAAATATCCCCGAAAATATCCGCTAGTGAATTTTTTCAAATAAACTATGATTTCATCCGATAAACAATCAAACCGCAATAACATGTATATCTGATTCACAGAAGTTGTTATTCATAATATATGGCACCAAAACAGTGAGAAGAGATGACGTGAGACATCCAATATTAAGGGCAGACCGCGGTGAAATTTGAAAGTCTCGGCTCGGTCTTAAGAGCCATTGGATGACTTTTGATATATGAAGGGATATATAAAAAAGTGAGAAAAATTTCGAACCAAAAACGTCATTTTTTCAGGTTTTTAACATAAAAATGCTCCTTGGACCATTTTTTAATTAATAGTATTAGACAGATGGTGAACATCGGTGACAATTTTAAAATTTTAGAACTTATGGATATCGAGAAATTAAATAAACAAAATCAGTCTTATACACGGCCTCTTATGGAGTTTTGATTAAATTGAACGTTTCAACCCCCTAGGAACTCAAGAAAAATTTGAAAAAATTTGAAGATATGGAAAATGATGTGTTCAATGTGATGGTGACAAAAAACAATGGGGTACCGGGATGAATAAGAGAGATATTTCAACCCGCCGTACCCATTTGATCCCATGCTTTCTCGAGGTTCGTCACGCGAAATAGAGGATTTTCCGCATTTATTTTCTCGATGTCTAGTTCCGGTTGCGGGTTTGAAATTTCGTCGGATGGATGAATACATATTTCTCCAATGATGGAGGGAAAGAAAAAATTTTTTTTGAATCTTTTTTTAAATTCACTTGGCACCCTTAATGATTGAATAACGTCAACAATATAAAATTTCTTCTAAACATTGTATTCAGTATCCACTACTGGTTTTCGAAAATGATCAATATCATAATTCATTCCTATAAAAAAAAAAGAAAAAATTAGCAATCCGAATTCACACCCATAAATGAATTTTTGAGTGAAAAGGAACAAAAAGGTGAATGTAACTCAGTGCTGGCCGCCGCTTGCTTTCCTAGCCCATGTCACATATTTTTCAACAAAAGCAACGATGTGGGATACGGCTTATTGGCGACAATGGCAGTGTGGGGGCTCCGTCACGTCTAGGGAAACATAAAAGCGTATAATGCCTCCACGCTAACGTGAAAATTATCCTGTCAAACATTCGCCCGTCGGATTAGGCTCACAGTTTCTCTCTCTGGGTATACACACAACTCAACATGGTATACGCGGACGGACAACTATGACGATGAATCTTGCAACCTTTCGCCCTTTAGACCCTGTGGTATGCATGTATACATTAGGGGCCAGATGTTCGGTTTTCCATGAACACAGAAGTACGCGCTTAGTGTGTTGAAAAGCAAATAGCGGAGAGTGCCACTGCGATTATTGGTAGGTGTTGATTTTACGGTGGAAATATATCAAACATCTTCTAATGAATAGTTTCCGGGGGTTGGGGTACATTTCCAGGGGCGCCTGTAGCTTGTGAACGATGATCTGCATCTTTCGAAGGAATCAATTTCGGTTGAGGAAATGTGTCTTTCCTCATGATTTTCGGACCGTCAATGGCCCAGTTAAAGTAACTCTACACTTACGGTAAATTCAGAGATTATTGAAAACCGCAAAAAAATTACAGAAAACTCGATTAGATTCGGAACCCTAATTTTTTTCTCAATTTAATTATCGTTTTGGTTTTTCAAAGAAGAAATGTTTAAAAATCAGGATTTAATCCAGTGTCTTATGTGAAAATCAACAATTCCATTGTGATCAAAGATTAAAAACAGATTTTTTTCATTAGATGTGAAAAAATCAAGAAATTTTTTGACACATAAAAAATTAACCACTATTTTGCAAACAAATTCTATTATTCATTTATAAGAAGAAAATGTTTGATAAATATCAATATTTTGCGGAATTTAATTTAAATAATACTGACTGGGTACGAATTTTTTCAAATTGTTTCCACGCAATTTACTTGAATCGGAAAAAAAAGAAGTTGTATTTGGTGTAATTATTCTGTGATTTTGGGCTTCAACGACAGATTTGATTATCGTTTTGGTTTTTCAAAGAAAAAATGTTTAATAATTAGGATTTAACCCAGGGTCTTATGGGAAAATCAACATTTTCCGTTTTCCATTTCCATTTTGAATTTTTTTTCATTAGATGTGGAAAAATCAAGAAATTCGTTGACACCTCATAAAAAATGAACCACCATTTTGCAAACAAATTCTATTATTCATTTATAAGAAGAAAATGTTTGATCAATATCAATATTTTGCGCAATTTAATTTAAATAATACTGACTGGGTATGAACTTTTTCAAATTTTTCCCATGCAATTTACTTTAATCGGAAATAAATGAAGTTGTATTTGGTGTAATTATTCTCTGATGTTGGGCTTCAACGACAGGTTGGATTATCGTTTTTCGTTAAAAAATGAACCACCATTTTGCAAACAAATTCTATTATTCATTTATAAGAAGAAAATGTTTGATAAATATCAATATTTTGCGGAATTTAAATAATACTGACTGGGTACGAATTTTTTCAAATTTTTCCCACGCAATTTACTTTAATCGGAAATAAATAAAGTTATACTTGGTTTAATTATTTCGTGATATTGGGCTTCAACAACAGATTGTCTTATCGTATTTCCTAGGATTTCTTCTCGTTCATTCCATGTCATGGTAATTATCGAGAAAATGTACCCTATAATTATGAGAATTGCTATGTTTAATCGACGGTTGAAAAGGTTCAGCACTGATAGAAAGAATTAGTTGTAGTTATTAATGATAAATAATATTTTTTCGGCATTTTGAATTCATTTTTTTTGAGAAATAGAAAATTAGCTTTCCACCAAGATGATTTGTTTATCCTTTCTCGGTGAATGCATAGTTCTCTCTATACAAAATGGTAGACGGGGCAGAAACCTAGGCAGTGGCAGTTACTGCGACATTGCCGGTAGTCTCCAGATGATACGATGACTTTGCAGCGGATAAAGTAGTGATTGTCAATGTTTGAGGAGACGTATCTCAGATAAGCTGCGGAATTTTTCATTGGAAGCAGCCGAAAACTGAGCGAAAGTTTGGTAGAAGCTCACAGAGAAGAAAAAGTGTTGATTTCCACACTGAGAGAAAAATATGATTCTTCTGACTATATTCCATCACCATCGAATTATAATCAAAAAGTCCTCAACAATTTTTCATGGGTTACGGTAACAACGGCCGGAGAATTAATTACTACAATGGAATGTAGTCATTGCAACTATTTTATAGTTCTACTCACGATAGATTTGTCGTGGTTACTTTTGAACTTTGGTTAGTTTAACTGCATTTTGATTTACAAAAATTACGCTTGTGAAGTTACTATAATGCTATGTGCCGCATACAAAAAAAATCGTATCGTTCACCAAAACTGCCTCAACTATTTCCTTATTGTAAATTGAACTTCAGATTTTTCTCTCAGTGCAGAGATGCATCACTAATTTCCAGGAATATGCCACTGATCTTCAGGAATTTATCCCCTACTAGAACAGGGCGCGCGCGGTTCGCACGAGTACTGTTTCCACTAGGTGCCTTACCGTCTCTCACGTCTCTCCCCATAGTAGCCATTACGATGTTCCATAGTTGCCATTACCACGTCCATAGTAATACTTACAAAACTTTGGTAATGTTTACTATGTGCGGATTCCGACATAGTAATCTTTACTATTTTATTTTCTCCATGCATCAAGTTCTTAAAGTTCCTCCCAAAAGCTTTACTATGTTACATAGTAAGCGTTACTACGTTAACATAGTAGAGTTTCCTATGTAACATAGTAGAGCTTACTATGTAATATGGTAATTATTGCTATTTCCATAGTACCGATTACCATTCAGGAGCTTACTATGCCCCATCGTAGCCATTACGATGTTCCATAGTTGCCATTACCATGTCCATAGTAATACTTACAAAACTTTGGTAATGTTCACTATGTGCGGATTCCGACATAGTAATCTTTACTATTTTATCTTCTCCATGCATCAAGTTCTTAAAGTTCCTCCCAAAAGCTTTACTATGTTACATAGTAAGCGTTACTACGTTAACATAGTAGAGTTTACTATGTAACATAGTAGAGCTTACTATGTAATATGGTAATTATTGCTATTTCCATAGTACCGATTACCATTCAGGAGCTTACTATGCCCTATAGTAGCCATTACGATGTTCCATAGTTGCCATTACCATGTCCATAGTAATACTTACAACTTTGGTAATGTTTACTATGTGCGGATTCCGACATAGTAATCTATACTATTTTATTTTCTCCGTGGATCAAATTCTCAAAGTTCCTCCACAAAAGCTTTACAATATTACATTGTAAACTCTACTATGTTACATAGTAAGCGTTACTATGTTAACATAGTAGAGCTTACTATGTGCCATAGTAAAGCTTACAATGTAACATAGTAATTGTTGCTATGTCCATAGTATCTATTACTATTGAGCAGTTTACTATCCTCCATAGTAACCATTACGATGTTCCATAGTAGCCATCGATATTCATGTCCATAGTAGTACTTACAAAACTTTGGAAACGTTTACTATGCGCGGTTTCCAACATAGTAATCTTTACTATTTTATTTTCTCCCTGCATCAAATATCTAAAGTTCCTCCACAAAAGTTTTTTACACGTGATCACATGCTACTAATGAATCTCATGACGGCCAAAACTTTTCCTTCCACCTGGTTTATTCAATGCACCTCTATAACTTCTTCCCACCCAGTGCTTCAGAACTCAGAAATACGCTGGTGAAAACCTGGAAAAAAAATCCCGCAGAAAACCTCATGGAAGAGAAGAGCACGAGGCCAATAAAAAGTCTCCGCTATTCACGTCGCTTCACTTTCTCGCACTCTATCTCGCCCCAATATTTCCTTCCACCCCCCCCCCCTCCTGCCCCTCTGAAGGGTCCTCCACAAATCCACATCCCAACGGATCCACGAGGTAGGGGAGAGTCGGTTCGAATATAGTCGTCGTTTGCAGAATAAAAAATGGTGAAGGGCAGTGAGGGGCCCGGGGGAAGGGGGGAAATAATGGGAAACGAAATGAAGAAAGGACGAAACGATATCAGGCCCCGCCCACGGGCTGTTTCAGCCTCGACCAATGGGATTACGTAATGGTGGCCATTTTGGTCCGCTGAGTGGAGGCTGCGCCGAAGATGTGATCAAGTACTTCCAGCTCTCCCCACTCTCGTCCAAGTTTCCCTCCACCCGTCGCATTCCCGATATTCTGTTCTAAGATTTTATAGCGCCCCCCTCCACCCGCCACGGCAACACCCCCCCCCCC